TAAGGGATCTTTCTGGCTCTCCCCATTGGCTGGAGAGTGGGGACAGAGCCTAGGCTTGGGCCCTGAGATGCTGAATACCTCTGGTTTCCCAGGAAGGCCTGTCTTCTAAGAGGTATGTAGACCTCTAAGGCCACACCATTTTATCTCTTGGAAAGTCTCAGTTTTGGAGTGACTTCAGGGGATTGATAGCAATACCAATCTAGAAAGGAATTTAGGAGTAAAACTGATACCCCCACCCCCTTCCTAATAAGTAATTCTTGAGGCCTTTTAAGCAGAGAGTGATGGGATGTGGTGGGCTAAAACCTAATCAAGAAACTCTACTTTAGAGCAGGATTTTTTATAATTAATTTATTTATTTTTAGTTTTCAACATTCACTTCCATAAGATATTGAGTTTTAAATTTTCTCCCCCTCTCTTCCCCCTCCCCCCCAAGACAGCATGCAATCTGATACAGGCTCTACTTATACATTCATATTAAACATATTTTCACATTAGTCATGATGTAAAGAAGAATTAGAACTAATGGGAGGAATGATGAGAAAGAAGAAACAAAACAAAACAATAAAAGAAAAGAAGAGCAATTGTATGCTTCCATCTGCATTCAGACTCCAAAGTTCTTTCTCTGGATGTAGATAGCATTTTCCATCATGAGTCTTTTGGAGATGTCTTAGATCCTTGCATTGCTGAGAAGAGCCAAGTCTATCAAAGTTAGTCATTGCACAATGTGGCTATTACTGTTGTCTGTTATACCCCATTAATACAATGTTCTCCTGGTTCTGCTCATTTCACTCAACATCAGTTCTTGTAAGTCTTTCCAGGTTTTTCTGAAGTCTGCCTTAGAGCAGGCTTTCTTAAACTGGGGTTAAAAATGTTTAAAAAAATGTTTTAACAACCGTATTTCAATATAATTGGTTTCCTTTGTAATCCTATGTATTTTACTCTACACACTTAAAGATAATATCCTGAGCAGTGATCCATAGGCTTCACCAAGCTACCAGAGGGACCCATCACACAAAAGAAAGGTTAAGAATTCTTGCCTTAGAGGGAGGAAAAAAATATTTAATAAAGGATTGTGAACACAAGGACATTAGGGGAATTTTTAGTTTGGTACAAATATGAAAACCAATCAAAAATGACTTCTATAAATTGTGGATGTAATTCTTAAAATAACCTGAAAGGCTACAGGCACACAGATATTCTTGCAAATAGGATTGAATTAGGTTACAAATCAATACCTCATAGGCCTCTTTTGGATGGATCTGGACACATGACCCTCTAGATCCCAGGGAGGGAGGATGGGAAGTAGCATTTGCTGTTCTAACCACGGAAGAGAAAATAAGAACAACAAAACTGTTATTGCTAATGAAGGCCCCAGAGCAAAGGGAGAAAAGCTAAAGGGGGAAAAGCAGAGGAACATTATTGTAAACTGCTACTCAGTCTGCCTGAAGAGAGAGGAATGTCAAAGGAAAAAGCAGACATCTTGTGTCCTTCCCTCTATTTCTTGTTTAGTCAGGTCACAAAATAACTTTTCCAGTCATTAGAGTCTACCTATAGTCTGCCCCTTGGCTTCCTCTTAGGATTAGAGGCAAAACCACACTTTAGGAATTTAAGAACTATGGCAGATACCAGACTTGACTGTCTTTGGAGGTTTGGTCTCCTTTTAAGGAGCAAGTGAGTTTGTTGAGCTAACAGGTCCAATATATATATATTTCAAAAGGTAGAGGTGAGGAAGGAGAATATTTTAGGCATGAGTACAGCCTATGTAATGGCAAGGTTTCAGGAGCCAGAATGACATTACAGGGAACTGCAAGTAGGCCAACTTGGCTGAAATATAGAATATGTGAGCTGGGATGTGCAATCAGTCTAGAAAGATAAATTTGAGCCAGATTGTGAAGTGCTTCATCCTCCCCCACCAACCTGCCCTCATACCCTCCCCCACCCTCTTCCTAACATCCCTGTTACTATTGAGGGCACTACCACACACCCAGTCATGTAGGTTTGAAATCTAGGTGTTATCCTCAACTCTTCACCCTCTTTCCCCCACATCCAATCAGTTGCCAAGACGTGCTGTCATACATATTCTCTTCTCTTCTGACTGTCATCACCCTGGTGCAGGTCCTTATCACCTTTCACCTGGACTATTGTATGGCCTGCTGATTGGTCTCCCTACCTTGTCTCCACTCAGCTGCCAAACTGGCCTTCCTTAATTACAGGTCTGATCATGTCACACACACCTGGCCCCCCAACTCTGCTACTACTTAATACATTCCAGTGACTACCTAGTACCTTCAGGATCAAATTTAAAATCCTCTGATTTTTAAAGCCCTTCATAGCCTGTCTCCTCTCAAATCTTTTCAGTCTTCTTATACTTTACTCCCTTCTATATACTCCTCCAACCAATGCCTGGTTTCTTTGCTGTTCTTCTCCATCTCCAGACTGACCATTTTCTCTAGCTGTTCTCCATGCCTGGAATTCTCTCCCTCATCACTTCTGCTTCCCTGGCTTCCTCCAAGTGTCAGCTGAAGTCCCATCTTCTGCAAGAAGCCTCTTCCAGTCTTCCCTCTGTGATCAATTTATATTGTGTATATACACACATGTATATAACTTGCATATGTGTGTGTATATATATAACTGTGCATATGTAACATGCACATACAACTGTGTATAACTGTGTATATGTATACATATATACACGCAAGAGAGACAGAGATGAAGTTTGTATATAGTTGTTTGCCTGTTGTCTTCCCCATTAGACTACGGGGACTGTGAGCTCCTTGGTTTTTTATTCTGGTTTTTGCTTTTATTTATACCCCCAGTGGTTAACACAGTGTCTGGCAGAGAGTAGGTGCTTAACAAATTCTTTTTGACTGACTGGCTGCTTTGAATGCCAAACAAGGGAGTTTGTGTTTTATTCCAGAGGCAATAGAAAGCCACCTAAACTTCTGGAGCAGGAAAATAACAGTAAGCTCTGCAGGTTTGGAATACCAATTTTGCCACGGTATGGACAATGATTGGTGGGTGAGAGACACCCTGAAGGCAGTTAGACCAAGTAGGAAGGTATTGAAGTAATTCCAAGAGAAAAGTGGAGGTGATAAAATTCTCAACTGGAGAGAGTGGAGAGGAAGTGGATGTGAGGGATGCTGGGCGAGCAAAATAGACATGATTTGGTAACAGATTGGATATGGAGGGAGAAATGGAGAAGGTAACAAGGTGTTGATTGAAAAATCATAATATTGCTAAGGCTAGCTAAGCAGGCAATCTTATCAGGGTGAAAACTGCAGCAAGCATATATTATTGCACAATGATTAGCAAGCTAAATTTCTCTTGACAGAAATATATGTGTTGCGTGGTTGTTGTTCTGCTTTTACTCATCAAACTGACTCCTAATTCCTCTTGCAATTATACGCCCTGATCCTCAAGATTCCATTACATTCTAAGCTAAGACTTTGCGGTAGACATCCTATCTTGATTTCTCCATCATCCTAAATAATTATGAGAGAGTAGGAGTCTATCAAGAAATATGGCATATTACCAGTATATTATCTCTCCCCTCCCTCCTTTAAATAAGAAAGTTTGACAACTTGGCCATCAAAGACAGTGTTTGCCAAGGCAAACTATATCAAATGAGTAAAATACATAAATTCCCCAGAGCAGATCACTCTCTCTCCTATAGTCCTCGGTTTGTCCACTCTCAGTGATGGGGAAGAATAGGGAGGAGCAGTATTTAAGGAAGAAAGAGAAGTGTTGTTATCCTGTGCATTTTAGGAAGGAGTGTCCCTTATTTAACTAGCATTTATTAAGCATCAACTATATACCAGGGCTTCTGCTAAGCTCTGGAAAGAGAAAGAAAGGTAAAAACAAACAAACAAATGAACAAAAAACAGGCAAACAAAAAAGCCAATCCCTGCTTGGGAGATGGGGCTTCTGTGGGATCAAGATTGAGAGGAATGCAGGTGCTGTTGTCTGCAGGAAGATCCTACCCCTCCTCCACACACTACCAATTACCTTTGTAATAAGGGGAAGAGGGTTAGAGGAAAAGGGATTATGATAACATGGGAAATATTTCAAAAGTAGGTAGGTGTTATTTACAGTAAGAGCTAGTTAGAGCTGACCTGGGTAATGAGACTACTACAGCAGAGAAAGTGCATGTGACCGAATGAATTTGGGCATGAGAATAGAAAGTATAGGGTGAGTGGGAAGGCTTCCTTTCATTCTGTTATTGTCTCTGTACCAGAGTTTTGTTTTAACTGTCAATGTGAGATTTTTTTTTAACATTGCCTATTGCCTAGTGATTAAGATCCTCACTTTATCCCACTCTCTCATGTTTTCTTCCCAAGCAACAGCCATTGTATTCTTTCTCTTCCTCTCAAGAGACAAGCTAATTTGCACCTCCAGCCACTCATCTCCTTCTCTTAGCAATACTCTCAGCTTTCATTCTGTTATTGTCCCTGTTTCATTCTGTTATTGCCCCTTGGTCATTATGTTATTAGACTATACAAACTCTAGTTTGTTATCATTGTTGTTCACAGGCAATTTGGGATAATACAACATTTTGTTTTGTATTCTGGATAGCCTGGATGCCTGGGTAGTGTTCACTGAGTCAAATCTGGTCAGGAGAGTTGATTCAGAAGATGCAATCAACAAACACAGGGGGTTAGGCATGTGTTGCAAGCACTGGTAATAGGCCAGGGATCTGTCCTGAGATCCTTAGCTAAGGATCTGTCTCAAGAAGAGACAAGGATCTAATTCAGTGAGAGATGGGAGGTTGATCAAACAGAGTCTGTAGCATATTCTCTTTGCTGGAAAAAGGGCCATCCAGAGTCCATTAGAGTGGGTTACAGTAAGCATTGTGACCTGTTAGAGCACCATGACTACAAGCCACAAAGTAAAAAAAAAATGAGCCAAAATGGTTGTTAATTTTAAATTCATTATTGCTCTTTCTCTCTTGTTTTAAAAAAGAGGCGGCATTGTTGCAGCTGTAGATATGTGCTGGAACATGCCTAGGTACCCCTGCAGTTCGAGTTCATGAGACTGTATTGGTTTAACCAAGGTAGAGCAAACACCTCGAAAGAGCAGGTGATGTACTGTGGAAGAAAACAGAACAATTGCCTTATGTGAAAAGAAGCAAAGAATAGGAATAGTTGGCAATTTTCTAGCTCTTCAAGACTCGCCAAGCATTTTCTAAATGTCATCTCACTGGGTCCTCGTAACAACCATGCATGGTAGGTATGGTTGCCCATTTTACACAGGAAGAAACTGAGACAGAGATTAAGTGATTTGCTTAGGGTGATACAGCTCAATTCAGTCTGAGGCTGGATTTCAACTAAGGTCTGCTAATTACAAGTTCAACTCTCTATCCACTGCTCCACTGAGCTGCCTCTAGGAGCCAAAAGACTTTTTAGTGAATATCAGAATGAGCACCTCAGGCGCATGTGGGAGGATAAACTATCAGGCGATTCAGTCTGTTCACCAGCAGCCTGTGGCACAGCGGGCTCCTGAGCCGGAGACTTCTCTTTCAAATCCTTACAGTTCCTTTAGAGACGTTCTTCCATTCTTCTCTTTTTTCCTTTTTTTTTTTTGAGGGAACTGGGATTAAGTGACTTGCCCAGGGTCACACAACTAATAAGCACCTGAGACCAAATTTGAACTGAGGTCCTCCTGACTCCAGGGCCAGTGCTCTATCTGCTCTACCACTTAGCTACCCCAAGAGATTCTTTTATTAAAACCACCATCCACTATAATAAATTGCTGTTATATTGGAGTTGTCCTCAGTGACGGGAGGTCAAAAGGAGTAGCCCCTTGCACACAAAGGTTCATTCAGCTGTTGAACATCTTACCAGAGGCTCTATGGGCCTTGTGGCTTCAACATGGCTGATGACTGAGAGGGTGGGATCAACTTCCCACTTAGGGTTTCTACCCTTACTACCAGCACAGCCCCTTTTATGCAGAGCATTGCATTATTGCACAGCAGGGGGCACTGTGTAGGAGGTAGGAGGTGTTCTAGCCTTTCTTCTCCTATAGCTCTTGGGCTGGGGATGTAGAAAAATGTTCTATTTAGCTCTTGTGTCCCTGGCAACAAGACAAGAAAATTATTCCGGTCATATTAAAGAGAGAAACATTCACCTGAAGTCAACGCTGTACCAGTTCAGGAGATGGTTGTATCTTATCAGGGAAGAATCCTCTGAAAATAGGGGCAAGGGTTGGGACATGATTTAACACAAGAGGAAAGGAAACTTCTTTCCAGAACCATGCAGAATGAGAGGAAAATCAACTAGGCATCCTAAGGAAAAGCAAAAGCAACGTAGGGACCCCAGAGGCCAGGAGTGGTACCTGCAGAGAAGGGCTCCCTATGGGTATGGATAGGGTCAGAGAAGAGTTGACCAGACTAAGTGTCTGCTACTAGTTGTTCTCCTCTCTATCCAACTTGCTTGTGGATTGTGATTTTTGATTTTGCCGCATGTGTGCCTAGGACTGTCAGAATAAAATATCTTTTTTTTTCTCTCTTCATGAGAACTCTCCCATATTGTCATACAGTTTAACATTAAAGAACATTTCTTCTTAAAACAGAAGGCTCTTTGAATCCAAAGAGTCAAAAATGTTCCTTTAAAAACCAAATAAGTCAATTGAAAACCAAATTTCAATCACATACCTTTCTCCAGCTTGAGTTTTCTTCAATGGGACAATAAGCATGATCAGTTAAAGACTTTCTACAGATGGTACGACCAAGCTTGATAGTCATACGGTAACATAGACCACTTGTAACCTGATAATGATTAAGGGAAAAAAAAGTTAGATTTAAGAGTTATGTTCTATTACTCTTGAAACTTTAGATAAATCAAGATGGAGGAAGCAAAAAGGGAAAATTCTATCTTATCTGAATTCTCCCCAAGAAGCAGGAACTGATTTGGGGGATTGAAATGATGTGAACCCTTGAGAGTAAAGAACTACTCTTTTTTAGAGTGTCACAGATGAGAGGAAATTCACTCATGGTGTCTTATGTAACATCTAATATTTTTGGAGAAAATACGTCAAAGGCTTTAGAGTAAGGATATGAAGGAGCACATGGGTTAAAATTGTCCAGGCAAAAATCATCCAAAGAGCAGTGGGGAGTGCTCAAGAGTTAAATTCCAAAGACACAAAAAAGAAAGTATTCCAATGAAAGGGGGGGGGGAGGAATGATTTGAAGAGATCTATCTGGATGAATAGGGAATTCACCAATCAACTTTGATTTTTAAAAGGCATATATAGCAGCAAGGGCATGTAACAGAGGAAGAATATAAAATCTGGGAGTGTCTCATAAGAACAGTGATAATAATGCCAAAGCTCAGAATGAACTGAAGCTTGCAAGGAAAGTTAAAGACAACAAAAATATTTTAAATATATGTATATATATGCATGTATGTTTATATATACACACACATACACATGAGAAAGATGAAATGAAAAAGATGAAAGAAAGGATAGGATTGCTATTTGGAAGAATGAGATAATGCCAACTTATGACAGAGAGAAGACAGAACAGCTCAAATCTTATCTTGCTTCCCTTTCTCTGCCAAGGAAGCTGGTATTTGGGCTGGAAAAGATAGAATGAAAATGGTTAAAAAAAACTTAATATTAGATATAAGAAAATACCTGGTTCTCTTTTGAATTCAAGTCACCTGACCCAGATAAACTACATCTTTAAGTATTGAAAAAATGAGGATATAACTGAGCCACTGTTAGTGGTTTTGGAAAGACTATAGAAAATGTTAAAAATACCACAGGACTAGGAATAGACAAATATTGTTCTGATTTTTCAAAAAGAGGAAGAAAATTGAGTCTCTAAACTGTAGACCAATGCCCTTGATATTGATTGCTGGGGAAATTCTAAAAATATCTTATTAAAGGGAGAGTTAGTCAACAATGAGAAAAGAAAACAGTTGTTGTAGAGTCCCGACAACTTCACTAAAAACAGGCCATGCCAGATTAGTCTTATTTCTGGTACATAGTATATCAAGAGACTATTGTAGGCATAGTTTTTCAATATTTTAATCCAATATTTGATAAAATACCTAATGCTATTCTTGTGGAAAAAAACAGAGAGATATAGTTTAGTTAATATACAATTAGATGAATTCAGAAATGATTAAATGGTCAGATCTGAAGAGTATAGTTATTAATGGTTCAGGGTGTTTAGATTTACTAACTACTTCTCTTCTCCTGGTTTGATTCTATGTTACAAGGAATAGCTCAATGGATACAGGAAGGGTATCTATATCTATCTATCTGAACATATACACATATACATTCAGAAACAAAGGTCCTACAGAAATAAGACAAAAAAAGTAAGATATGAAAAGCGCTAAGAGCAATATCTCAGAGACAAACTGTAATTTCTATTGGAGATGAGACCAGATGTGCATCATTTATTGGCTAAGTTGTGTAAATGTTCTTCATTTCATCAGAAGTGTTATTGGGGTCTTTACAGTAGCCAAGTGATTGGTCATCCAATAGCTATCATTGAATTCTGGTGAATTAAATTTTTCTGGGTCCTACCAAAACTGGGTGATTCAATTCAATAATAAAATAAAATAAATTATAAAGCACCTACTTGCAAACCATTGCCCAAGTATTATAGTTCCATTCCCAAGTACTATTGGAAAGTCACTATATGTGACTGTACCCAGGTTTCTGAAGCAGAGCCTGGGCTTCAAATGCCTGTTTTGTGTATGTAGAATTGAAGACTTGACAGCCAGATTCCTGTCCAGTGTAGGAATATAGGTTTTGTTTTGTTTTGTTTTTTCTATCTTGAAACACCAAATAGAGAGCCTGGAAAAGAAGTGTTGTCCTGCTCTGGTAGACTAAGAGGCAGTGTAGTATCATGCATAGAGTGCTATCCACAGATAGGACTTAAGAGTCAGAAAGATCTTTGTTCATATTTTGCCTTAGGTACCAGCTTTGTGACCCTAAGCAAATACATTCACCTCTCTGAGCCTCAGTTTCCTCATTTATAAAATGTGAGAACTGAAATCAATGACTTCTAAGATTTCTGCCAGCTCTAAATCTATGATCCTATCATTCAATGATCCAAACATAGGCCATGGTAAGATTTGTCACCCTCCTGATTTGACCTATGACTATGAAATTGGATGAACCCCTAGGATTAGGGAAAGTTAATTTCTCATTAGTTCCATTAGTTATTCTTCAATAATTTAAATTTAACACAAAGAATAAAGCACCTATGAGGTCATTTATTTTCATACAGTAGACTAGACCATGCTATCTGTCTCAACATAAGATTTTGAAAATTTCTTCGATGTTATGTTGTAATATTGCCTTGTAGGTGGAATTCATAACTGAACCCTCTAATAATTAGGGACCTTTCCTTGCCTGTCAAACATTCTTGCTTTCATTAATGCACCATGTTCTAAATTTCCTTGCCACCCCCTATGTACCCTCCCCTCTCTACTTTCTCCTAACATATTATTTATCTATTTGTAGACTACATAAATCAGAAACTTAATTTGTTAATTTGTGTGATAATCTGACAGAGTATTCTGATCCAGCTCCCCGATAGGATGGTGTAAGGGAGAGCCAGTAGAACCTAGAACATCACACAGATCTCCGTAGCGTGCACTCTAACTGGCATTTAATCTAAAGCAAAATCCAGCTTAAAACATCAATTTTCACAGATGCATTGCTTCTCATGATCACACTGTGATTCTGCATTTAATCATAGTACAAACTCACCTATCAACAACACACATATTGCTCACTTCCACATACCCAAGGGACTAGTTTCCTTCATAACACCTAACACCAAACTTGAGAGTACAACCTGACACCTCGAGTAGGCTTGCAAAGCCATTAAAAGGTAAAGCTCAGCAAAGTTTCTGGGGCACACGGGTTCTGCCTTCTCACCCAGGCATCCCCAGACTCTTTGCATAGCAATGACGCCTCCTGGCTGATGCAAATTTTATATTTACAATAGTCCAATAAAAAGATGCATCATGGCTTGCCACAGAAATGAAAGGAGTTTTCTTTTCAAATTCCTGCTGTCCATAAAGCTCTTTGATGGTAGGGTCAGTAGAACACAGGAAATGTCTATTTCATAGTATCAGGTCATCTGTTCAGTTTTCCCAACTCCTGCTCAAACTGTGGAAGTCCCTCTCCACTCCAGCCCATCCTCTACTCAGTTAGCAAAGTTATCTTTCTAAAGCACAGATCTGAACCATGTCACACTGTATCCTGCCTCCCCCTACCCACCCGGGGAAACTGCAATGACTCCCTAGCACCTCCAAGATCAAATATCAAATTCTCTGTTGGGCATTCCAAGCTCTTTACAACCTGTGACACAAGCCCATTTTTCCAGTCTTCTCATACTTCTTACTGTCCCCCCACCTCCTGTAGTGTGATCTAGTGACACTTAATCTCCTTTCTGTTCTCAAATAAGACACTCTATCTTCCAGTTCTGGACATTTTCACTAGCTGTACCCTATGCAGGAAATACTCTCCCTTCTCATCTCTACCTCCTGGGTTCTCCAGTTTCCTTCAAATCCCTCTAAAATCCCGCCTTCTAAAGGAAGACTATCCTAGTACCTTTTAATTCTAGTGCTTTTTCTCTGTTGCTATTTACAATTTATCTTGTGTAATAGAACATCTATCAGAATGCCCCATCCTGGCTCCCCAATAGGACAGTGTAAGGAATCTAGAAAATATCACAGATCCCCACAGCATGCACTCTGGCACTCAAATCCAAAGCAAAATCTAACCTTTTGTAGATCCAAGCTTTTTGTATATAGTGGTTTGCACATTGTTTTCCCATTAGATCGTAAGCTACTTGAGAGCAGGGACTATTATTTTTTTACCTTTGTATCACCACTTCTTGGCACAGTGTCTAGCACATACTTGGTACTTAATAAATGTTTATTGACTATTGTGGTGATATTTGTTCAAGGATACAGAGTACACATTTTGAGAAGAAAAAAGGCCATCTGTAGTGTGCACACTTTAACAATCCTTTAGAAAGAATTCAGGGATTGTCATATATGGCTTTGCACATTACCTGACTTCAGGTAACCTTGATTATTCACATGATAATAAAGCCCTAAAGTGGCATAATATTCAGAGGGCTAAAATCAATCAATTAACAAGCATTTATTAAGCACCTACTATATGCCAGGCATTTTGCTAGTCATTGAGATACAAGTTTAAAGGATGAAGCAATACCTATCCACAAGGAGCTTATGCTCTGATGGCAGAGACAACAGGTACGTACATAACTATATATAACATAAATATAAATATATGCAAAGTAACTAAGTACATGGTAGGTCAGGAGGGAAGGCTCTAGCTGTTGGGAGAATCATGAAGGCTTTATGAAGAACACTGTGGATAAAAAGCACAAAGAAAAAGGACTTATATGTACAAAAATATAGCAGCTCTTTTGTGGTGACAAAGAATTGGAAATTAAGAGGATGCCTATCAATTGGGGAATGGCTAAACAAGTTGTGGTATATGATTGTGATGGGATACTATTATACTACAAGAAATGATGAGCAGAATGCTCTCAGAAAATCTTGGAAAGACTTACACGAAACTTCTGAAGCAAAATGAAATGAGAAGAACCAGGAGAACAATGTACATAGTAACATCAATATTGTATGATAAACAATCATGAATGACTTAGCTATTCTCAGCAATATAAGCAATAAATAATCTAAGACAAATCTGAAGGACTCATGATGAAAAATGCCATCCACTTCCAGAGGAAGAATGGATGGA